CAGGTGCCTTTTGAGCAGCACCGGGCTCTTTGGTTTTAAAAGTATTTCGACCGTATTGGATAATGCGCCGGCGGTCACGGTCAACCGTTGGGCGATCGGAGTGTGCGGTTTTTGGGGCCGACCTTTTCTAACCCGTCCTTCCTCGAGGGAAGGCAGCATCGCTGCTTCCATAAATATGGACATGCTGGTCGCCTGGGGGAAATGCCTTACCGCCTCCTATCGCAGAGGACGTACACTACGACTTTACCCCCAGACCGCTTCGTAGCATGATTATTCCTAGTACGAGTGTTGTGTTCGATGAGGGATGAAGTGCAGCGACAATCAGAATAGCAATGGAAAAGACTGAGGGCCCGGAAATTAGGCTTTATTCATCCAAAACTTTGGCACCGAGAGCTGAAATGGAAGAAAGTGATTTGGCAATAAAAGATGAAATTTTCGAAAAACAGAGCAAATATACAACAATGGGGTCTTGCTGCCCCTAGTCCGACTGCTCCTGTTTGGCCTTCCTGGCATTGTCGCACCTTGCGGAACGAATTTTCCGCCAGTGTAACCCACGGGATCATTGCAGCACTCGAGCCCGACCACCACGTCAAGGTGGCGGCGTTAGGTCGGTTCATGTTCCCGCTGCTATTAGTTTGGTTCACCTTAGACGGATAACCGCATAAACGTCAACCAATCTTTAACGCGTCACTTGCTTTTACTCTTTCATTCTGGCGTAAAAATTCTCAAGGAGGCGGTGAACAAGACTACAACAGAGGTTATATAACAGCGGGTCTCGGCTTAAAAGAGTTGCCCCCCAAGTGTTCGGGAATCAGATGCAGCTAAATAGCCGTCTGCTGAAACTATTGCTGTTCTATTTGCAAAGAATGTGAAAGAGTTTGAGTACTGTTGATGTCCCTGTCAGTTTCTATCCCAGTTGAGGTGTAGACAACTCTGAATGACTACCAAACTAGTACGAGGTTGTTTTCCTACATGTCGTCCTGTTTTGCGGATTAGAGCTTAAATAAATTATGGTTGTTTAACAGTGGAACATCAGTATTAAGGTTTTAGCTGCTATTTATGATTTTCGGAGAAAAACAGTCAAATGTCAAGTGCTGTGCTTCGAAGAATGACCCACTGGTATTTTTTAAAGACATTCAATGTCCTGGTTCAAAATTTTGCTGACATTTCGACCTTAACAAATCATTTCAGGGTAAATGGGTACACAGAGAAGTGTCTTCCGTTTCCTGTCAGTTATTGTTTATTTTCTCTGCTTCAAGTCCTTTTGGGTCTTCTTTCACTTTTGTTTTACCTGAAACCAACTCAGGATTTATGATGTTCCTATGCTAGTTTCTGGTGATTCGCTTTTATGCGGGCTGCTGCCGAGACCAAGGAGTCTGACAGCATCACACTCAAGTTTCTTGTAGAAGACGTGGCAGCAATGCTCCAAAAGAAATCACATTTGTCTGATTTCAGTCTCCTTCGGTTGTACACCCCCTTCGACTTCCGACAGGTTATAGACTGTCTGTCGCTTGCGCGGCTGATGGTTAATTGTTATTTTTTTTATTTCCGCAGTTTTAGCCACGTTCTCGCATGGCATTAATTTGAAAGCGCTCAGCGCGTTCATTGTAATGGTGAGTTTTTTCTACTTTCAATAAATGTCAGGCTGGTGAAACTGGAGACCTTCTACCAACTTTGGACCTTTTGTGCGCTCCAAAAAAATTAGCTAGAGAGAAGGGAGAGGAACAGTTACGCTCCCTGGCATTGACTCAAGCCAACCTAAATTATTTGTGCCAGTGGATACCGGATAAACTCGAAGGGTTGTCAAACTGGGAAGACGTAATGTGTTATTGTTTTTGTGCCAATTTCATCTGCCGGTAGGTCCACGGTGGCCTGACTGTCGCTTGCTTTCTTCTGAAAAATCTCTCCGATGATCAACTAAGAGCACTGCAGATTTTACAGGAGTTGGAAAACCGTGTACTTGAATGTCACGAGAATGTGGAGTTTCGTGTTCGGATTGCTGCTGGTCATTTGATGGGCCTACTCTGCTTTCGGTCTGGACTAGTGACGTTCAAACGATTTCTGCCCAGTGTTATTGAAGGGATCACCACAAATCTTGAACGCAGCCCAGACGCGCCAGCCACAGAGTCAGAAAGTTCTCTCCGAGAGCTCATCATAGCAAAGGTATTTCATCAGTGTTTTTTGTTTTGACTTTGTAACAGTAAGTGGAATTTATTCGTTTCCTTTTATCCGTTACTCGACTGCTTTCGTATGCACCAATTTGTTTTTAACGTCCCTAGTGTATATAGTTTTGTTGGATGTGGCTTCCAATTTATTCCAATCTTATCGCAAATCAGGTTATTCCTAACTCTAGAAGATACTTTCATTACTTCGTCCCGTTTTTAGACTACCGGCTTTCGGTTTCCACTCTCTTAGCTTGGGCGGCCCAGTAGCATTCCAGTCCTTGTGCTTGTTTTGGGTCACATCGCAGTCGGCGTGATAATGTTTGCTGGTACAAATGGTCTTCTCGTTCGGTACTTTTTATTCGAGAAATAAGCTATACCAGTACTACCCTTCCACATGCCTGGGAAGTTAGACCCTGAAAAGCGTTTCTTGGTTACCGGTTTTTCGTAGATTTTGAAGTCGGGGATGAAGGTAAGTGGTTCGTACGTTTCTCCGAAGACTGAACGTGTGGTTGGTGTTCACTTACAGTGTTTGAACTTATATGTCCACTTTTCCTTCCAAGACTCCACACTTACTGGCTTATTTTTAAGGAGTGTGCGCCTCTTCAAGTTATTCCGTAAAGTGATGCGTCCGATTGATCGCCTATACACGTGCACCACACGACCCCATTTTTTGGACTTACCAATAGCCCACCTAGTATATGTCGGTGAAAGCCATCCAAGACCTACCCGATTTTCTACCTCTATAAGATGAACCAAAACTGAAACGTTACGTGGCCCTCATTCCCCTAACCAGTCAAGAAATGATGTGCACGGAAGCCCGCTTTGACGGCGTTCTCATTGTTCTGTCGATGGAGCTTGAACACGGGGGTTGAATTGCATTTGCTGTGACGTTTGTATAGCTATTTTCCATTTTCTTTTGATTTCTGTTGACTGACTTACCGTTTGCTGCATATGTGCGTAAAAGCCAAAGACTAGAAAAGGTTCCTCTATCCATATGTTTATTAGTCGTTTGGATATATCTGAGGTTCTTAGAAAAACAGCATGGAACTCGAGTCATCATCTCATCATCGACAGCATGACATCAGTGTTCAACACCGATGCTTCACTACCGTAACTCAAGTAATTCTTCATTAATAATGAATCAAGCTTGGTCGGCCGATATATGGTGTACAGAAAAAAATGTCTTTGCACAATAGTTCGTCCACTTTACAAGTGAACTTTCACTCCGCCTGTCTCGCTTTCCTTCCTACTTTTCACCGGAATGGTTATTAGAATCGGACCCCAGGTTTCGTTGACCACAGTGACCACTCCATATGACGGTGGTATTCAGTGATGCAATCGAGCTACTCCTGGAAGAGAATCGTTGGGACTGGGTCGTAATGTTGATATTTCAAGGCCTATTTGTGTGTAGGCGTCATGCGAATAACCCATATATTGTTGGATGCTTTCTTGTTCAACCATATTTCGATTAATTGTCTCAGACGATTACAACCGGGCCGTTATCTCTTGTGACCTCAGTTTCGTGGATGTAGTGGATAAAAAATGGGTTTTGTTTCATTATTTGTACTGCTCGCAGTACATCCGAAACTCGGTTTTGAGCTCAAGAAAAACCCCTGAATAACAATCACCCCTAGTGTCTGATCGTTTTGAGTGTGGAATGAACTTCCACGAATCTACGATCAAGGTTAGAGCAAATGTTCTCTCCTGTAATCAAGTATAATATGCCTCTTCCAAAGTCAACTAAAGAGCGCGAGTGTTGATGTGAATCTCAGTTCAGTCATATGCTAAATCCCAACATTCCCTGCAGTGTCCAGGCCTCCGGTTCGGTCGGCCTTATTGGCAGTTATCTTGTAAGTGTTTTACTATGCATGACTGTCTCCCGCATTGCATCGGGATGTGGTCAAACCGCAGGCCAAACCAACCCCCGGTGTTGTGAGCAGTTAACGGTCTCAATCTTTTCAAATGTATTGAGTGGACCAGAAGGCGGAATTATGCAAATGGGGCTGTGTCGTTCATTCGTTATCGGAGACAGATGGGATAAAAAGCGAGTTCAACTCAAGGCTGTTTATTCGACTGTCAGCTACCTGAAATCAACGCCAACTCAACTTGTGACAGTTTAGGCTCAAAAGAGTACAATGGGACGTGCCGTACTGCACTTATAATCAGGACTTTAATAGGATTAATTCAGTGGAAACTTCTGTCGTGGTCATTTTGGCGCACACTGCCGGATATACCAGCTGCGCATAAAGCAAAACCTTGGTGCATAAACACTGTTCCTATATCCTAGGATCTAAGTTCAACTCAAAAGTCATATTTTACCAAATAGACCACATCGCCGTCAGTTATCAAACTATCAGAACAGCTCCTCGAATGCCTGCCGGACGGTACGGTGTCGGATATAAACGGCCACTGGGAAAAATATCCAACGCGTTACTCAAAACAGGAGCGTCTGCTTGCGTACAACCCAGCCAACCTCATCCAAGCATTGGATCTCTGATAGAACCGTGTCTTTTCTGGAGACCCGGCGACAGATCCCACCTGGTCGCCACCACAACTCCACCCGGCGCATCATCCGACGCCAGGTGAAACTGAGTGTCCGCGCAGACCGAGAA